TATTCTGTTCATCAGGTTGATTAGTACCTTAGTGCTTTGTTTTCCCTCTTGTGCTATCATTTTGTATGAATTGTGACCTTTTGCTTTAGGTGATTTTACATTGGTAGTTATCTTTTGTGCTGATCCATGTATAATGTAGTTCTGAGTATTTCCTGCAAGACAGATCTGGTCTTGACAAATTCCCTCAGTGTTTGCTTGTCTGGAAAAGTCTTTATTTCTTTTTCATATATGAAACTTAATTTTGCAGGATACAAAATTCTAGCTTAGCAATTGTTCCGTTCAAGTAGACTAAAGATGTGGCTCCAATCCCTTCTGGCTTGTAGGGTCTCTGCTGAGACATCTACAGCTATAGCCTGATTAGTTTTCCCTTGTTTGTTACTTAGTGTTTTTGCCTCATGGCTCATAATATTTCCTCCTTCATGTTGATTTTGGCCAGTCTGATAATTATACATCTTTGTGATTGCCTCTTTACATTGAATTTCCCAGGTGTTTTTTGACCTTCTAGTATCTGGATGTCTAACTTCTTTAGCGAGACCAGGGAAGTTTTCCTCAATTATTCCCTCAAATAGGTTTTCCAGACCTTGTACTTTTTCTTCTTCACATTCTATGTGGATTTCTATGATTCTTATATTTGGTCATTTTACATAATTCCTTATTTCTCATAGACTTTGTTCGTGTCTCTTGATTCTTTGTTCTTTATTTTTGACTGATGGGCTTAAATTGAAATAGTTGTCTTCAAGCTCTGAAATTCTTTCCTCTTCTCAGTTTAGTCTGTTCTTCAAGTTCTCCACTGTGTTTTATATTTTCTTAAATGAATTTTTTATTTCTAGAAGTTCTATTTGTTTTTTTTAATATGTCTATTTATTTAGTAAATTTTTCATTCATTTCCTAAATTGTTTTTCTGGTTTCTTTGAGTTGGCTTTCCATTTTCTCTTAGGTTTCATTGAGCTTCCTTACAATTCATATTTGGAATTCTTTATCTGTCATTTCAATATTTTTATTTTGGTTGGGATCCATTGCTAGAATGCTGGTGTGATCCTTTGGGGATGTCCTTTCACTCTGATTTTTTTGTACTTCCAGAGTTCTTGTACTGATTCCTTCTTACTTAATGTAGCTGTTGCTTCTTGTTATTATACTTTCTTATGTTTAGATGGGTCTTTTTTTTCACCCTTGCTCTTAAGGGTGTGTCTGTAGCATATGTTGGCTTTGCTTGTGGGTACTTTGATGTGGGTCTAGGTTCTAGATGGATACTTTGGTTATAGATATCCTTAGTGTGGTGTTTGTCTCAGTTGCTAGTTATTTGTAGGCTGTAGTGGTGGTGAGATACGTCTGTGGGCGATTCCCTGTTTCTTGTTGATGATGGAAGATTGAAGTATTTGAAATCCTTTCTCTTCCCTAGCCCTGTGTTCTTCTTAATGGTATGAATTATATTTGGACACCAGTTAAGTCTTGGAGACAATAGTTGGTGCCCATGGGTCAGAATCAGCCATGCCCTGTATGACTGAATCAGAAAATACTGTAAACAGCTGTATGTGTTGTCCTCCTTGTCAGTAGGTGGTGCTTGCCACAAAGAGTCAACTGAAGTTGTTTTGGGGGTCCTGTGACCAGCTCTTGCCCCTCAGGAGAAGCCCTCAAGTGCCCCACATTATGGGCAGGGCCCTGGAGCTCCCAGGGGACTCCTTATTCTCCACCACAGCAGAGGTAAGTAGAAGAGTGAGGCTGACTTCAGGCTCCACAAAGGTGAGAAAGAGAGCTGTTTCTGCAGAGGTTGAGAGCCAGCTACTGGGCTGCTGGGAAAGCCACCAGAGAGGGGCTAAAGCAGTCTCACCAAGCCAGATGACCTCTCATGGGAGAGGGGGCATCCCTGGGGAGGACAAAGATGCACAGTGGATAGAGAAGTAATATGGCACCTACCATCTTGGCTTGAGTCTGTGGTGATAAAAAGTGACCCCAAGGGGGTTGGCAGCCTGGTGCTTTGTTTTAAAAAACTCCCAGTTACTGGCAGCAGCAACTTCTGAATTTGTGAAAGTAGAAAAGCTCTCCAGAAGCTCATGAGCTTGCTGACTTTTAGAGGTGTGAGAGAAGGAGAAACAACATCCCCACCTAACCTTTCCACAGGACTCCAAGTTTCTTGGGAGTTGATCTCTGCTGATATCTTGCTCCTTCCTGTTTTACTCCATAACTTCTTCTCCTGGAACCTCTTGTAGATTCTAGCACTTTTCTCCCAGAATTACACCTGAGCTATGTTTTTTTAATCTAAAACTTTTCCTTCTTCCTGAAGGACGTGACCAATGTCTCTAGTCAGCTATCTTCTGTTATCACTTTTTAAATTGCATAGTTTGCTAGACATTTTAATGGCCGGCTTAAAAGAATCACAAGAGTTCCTACTGCAGTGTAGCAATGTTCTAATGTTTGCATCAGCTACATTATTGAACTCTTGATTTTGTCACAGTTCAAACTCTTTTCCCTTTCAGATGTAACATTTACTGTCTTGTCCATGATTTCATATATCCTCAGCAGGAGAAATTCTTAGGGGGAATCCATTGCATGATTCTAGAAGGCACCATTATTCTTTGAGAATGGTGCCCTGGGAGTTGTACAATACTTATTAGCTTTGCACATGTGTAAACACATGATATTTGTCTGGCTTGGCTTGATGGTTACTATATGCTTCTTTACCCTATGCTTTTCACCATCTCCTCATGGTGATGTTTATCTCAATGTTCTGTGTGACAAACCACAATAATATTGTCCATATTATCTAGAATAAAATGAGATCTTCTTTTTCTTGACTTAAGGCCAGTCTCAGCACTGAATCTTAGAGGGTGGGGTTGGGTGGATGGAGAGTGCATGACTATTTGTGTTTTGATAATTTTATCCTGATTACATGCTCTCACCTGTGGTAAAAGTAAATTTTACATGTGGATTAATAGTAAACTATATTAGTTTTTAAATCATTTGATGACCATGACCCTCCTTACAGTCAGACAATTTATACACTAGGGTATCAGCATGACCACCAAAGACCATAAGCCCTTCAAATTGAGAAATGTGGTCTGTTGTTCCCTTTGTGTTACATAAAATATCAGATTACCATTTGTATTTCCTCTCAAGTGTTAGCTATAGAAGCTTTCTGGTAACACAGAATAATTTGTCCTGTTCTGTATTATCATTTCTTCAAAGAGTATCTCAACACTTAGATCAGAAACTCCTAATTTTTGAGTGTTGTAAATGTATGGCTTCATGCTATTTAAAAGTTGGTGTGGTATGGACTTAACTAATAAACTTCTTCATACAAAGGCGACTATCTTCTCAAGGGAGGAAATGCTGTTGAAATAGTCAGGAATATGTGCATTTGTAGACAAACTCAGTCTATAGTGCTTGCAGTGGGAATGTTTAGCCAGGCTAATAGAAATAATTTTCAGAGTTCAGGACAAGAGCACAAAGTTTAAAGGTATAGAGAGCTGTCTTGGGAACTCCTTGTGAGAAGCTGTGGATGGTCAGCTATCCATATGAACTGAGGCAAATAGCCAACTCCATTATCTCTAGAAGCTTTCTCCATGTTTACCTTTTCCAAAAATAATTTTTTAATTGAAAAGACAGTGACATAATAACTAACTGCTATTGGAAATTTAATTCAGACATCTTTGCAATCAGTGGAAATGTATATATTTTTCCTTCCTTTTAAAAAATATCTTCTTGTTTCGTTATAATGTAGACATAGTTACTTTATTTGATGTCAAGATGTCCAGATGTTGTACTGAAGCAAGTTTTAAGTTTCTAGTCCCTGTGGATTTCACCAATCAAGGAAAGAAGAATTTTATAGTAGGAAGCTGTTTCATGATCCTGGAATATCTGGAGAATTTTTTTTCCTTTTTCTCTTTTCTTATTCATTCATTCATTCATTCATTCATTCATTCACATTATCTTTGTGCCTGGTACTGCACTAAATACTTGCAATATCAAAATAAAATTAGTTTTTATCCTACCTATCCAAAGGTCCTCTAATATATAAACACAGATAAATAAATATCAAAGAAACTGTGCATCAGTGGGCTCAAGGGAACCACTGAGGAAGGAGAGGTGGACTGTGTCTGAATGTTTGGTTTTACTTTCTGCTTACTCTTTAACCAAGGAATCCTTTATCATCCTTGACTGTGAATTGTTCACAGGGTTTAACCTTACTCTTTTTCCATGAGTTCTTCCCTGGCTTTATAAATCCTAGCTTCCAATACATTATCCCCTATCATCTACTGATTGTCCAAAGTTTAGACATTAGTACATGGGATGCAGTAGTTTAGTTAACACTTGCTTAACTGAGATCCAATTGAGCAAATATCAAGTGGACTGAACTTACGAATTCAATTACACAAAAAATACAGAATACTGGTGAAAAGTTAAAGCTTTGGAAAAAAGTGGAATTCTAAGAAGTAGTCAGGAGCTCACATTTCATGTGCAAACATAGAGCATGAACTCTGATGTCAAATGATTTAGGTTTGAATCCTGGCTATGACACTTTGAGTGACTGTCTGGCTATGAGTGACTTTGGACAAGTTGTCATTGGGTTTTTGTGAAGAGGAAATCATATAATGTGTATAAAAGACACAGTGAATTAGTGGTCATATAGAAAATGTTCAATAATTGTGGGCTACTATTATTTCTTGATTATCCTGATCCTGCTCTGCTGTTAAAGGACAGTTCTTCTGTGCAGGGATGAACTTAATGGCTTATGTGGTGTGATTTGAAGGACAATTGAAAGAAACATCAAAAATATTCTTTTACAAGTCTGTAATATCTTGAAATTTTAGTGACTATGTTAAAAAAATTATTAACTCCAAATTAAAACTTTCCCTACATTTGATATTCTATCCATTACTATCTTTATATACAGAGGGAAAAGAAGATTGGTTTGACCCAAGGCACATTCAACACTCTCTTATGACATAATTGACGCTGTCACTGTGGGTCTTGGAGAAGAGAATCCAGAAAGGCTCTGAAGGCAAACTTTACCTATGTCAGAATCCTATGGAGAACTGGTTATCTTTGCCTCTGCTTCTTCACATTGTAGGTATTATGTTTAACTCAAAAAACCAAGGACATAAACCAAAACATACCATTTAGGTGGATTTTTAGTTCCTTAATGTGATGTATTCTCAAAGTTGAGAAGTTTATGGACATGCATTGCCTAAGAATGTATTAATTTTTCATTTACATGTTATAGGCATGAAGTGATGGTGGCTGAAATATATGAGAACCATCCTTCTGCTGGGAAAAACTAGAAAATTTGGATAAAATATAGAAAAGAAACATTTTCTTAAATTCTTTTAAATTCTAACAAGATAGAGAGAAATCTGAGCAAGATGGGTAAAAAATGGATCTGTGGCTGAGGGTGGGGATGGGGAGTACAGTGAGGCAAGGTTTTGAGATAATTTTCCCCTGGAGGGATTGCTAACTTTTGAAGGTCATTGAGAGGCTGAGAGGCTAAGCAGCTCTTTAGAAAATCCTCACAGAGATGAAGGATGGAATATACAGAAGAGAGGGTAAGAGACACATGGGATTTGGTGAGAAGTGTTAACATGTTTAATATAAGTCTAAGATAAGAGAAGAGAATAATGGGGCAGAAACAATAATTGAAGAAATAATAGATGATAATTATCCAAAACTGGTAAATGATATTAAGCCTAAGATTTAAGAAGCCCTATAAACCCCAAACACTAATAATGATAAAGATACCTAGGCAAATCATGGCAAAACAGCAGAAAACTGAAGACAAAAAGAAAATCTTAAATGTAGCTAAAGAAAAGACACTAGTTATCTCCAAAGTAGCAACAATTAGAATGACAGCTATATTCTCAAAAAAAACAAAAAACCAAAAAACAATGGAATTATTTCTTTAAAGTATTTTAAGAAAAATAATCGCTGACATAAAATTCCATGGCTAAGGAAAATATCCTTCAGGAAAACATTTTCAGAAAACAAAAACAAAAACAACCCAAGAGAATTATGACCAGCAGACTCACATTCTCACTAAAGGATATACTGAAGTATATTTATCAGAGAGAAATGAAGAAAATAATGCTAAATGTAATCTTTGAGACTCAGAACAGAACAAAGACCAATGAAAATAGTAAAGTTATAAAATGTATATAAATCTAAATGGAAATTGGCTGTATAATACAGTAGTAATAATAATGATGTCTTATGGCATTTAAAATACCAAGAGAATTAAAATACAAAACAACAATGGCGTATGATATGGAAGTTAGGGACTTGAATTAAGATATTCCGAGTTTCTTACATTGTTCGAAGATGGTAGAAGTACCAAGTTAGACTTTGATATATCAAGAATGCACATTGTGATTCCTAGGGTAAGCCACCCCTTCCCAAAATAGTAAAAATATGTAAAACTCTCAAACTAAGAAAGGGGAAAAACAGAAGAATTAAAAATCATCAGTCCTTGTGGAGAAATTGTAACACTTGTGCACTGTTACTGAGAATGTAAAATGATGTTGCTACTGTGAAAAACAGTATGGTCATTCCTCAAAAGATTAAAAATAGATTAACATATGATCCAGCAATTCTACTGTGGGTATATACCCCAAGATATATTGAAAGTAGGTTCTTGAAATGATGTTTGTACACCCATATTCATAGCAGCTATTCACAATAGCTAAACCATGGAATCAAACAACCTATGTGTCTGTAGGCAAATGAATGGATAAGGAACTGTGGTATAAATACACACCATGGAGTATTATTCAGCCTTAAAAACAAAGGAAATCTGACACATGCTGTAACATGGATGAATCTCAAAGGCATTATGCTAAATGAAATAAGCCAGTCATATAAAAGACAAATACTGTATGATTCCACTTATAAAATCACAGACACAGGCCGGGCGCTGTGGCTCACGCCTGTAATCCTAGCTCTTGGGAGGCCGAGGCGGGCGGATTGCTCAAGGTCAGGAGTTCAAAACCAGCCTGAGCAAGAGCGAGACCCCGTCTCTACTATAAATAGAAAGAAATTAATTGGCCAACTGATATATATAAAAAATTAGCCGGGCATGGTGGCGCATGCCTGTAGTCCCAGCTACCCGGGAGGCTGAGGCAGAAGGATCACTCGAGCCCAGGAGTTTGAGGTTGCTGTGAGCTAGGCTGACGCCACGGCACTCACTCTAGCCTGGGCAACAAAGCGAGACTCTGTCTCAAAAAAAAAAAAAAAAAAATCACAGACACAGAAAGTAGGATGGTAGTTTCCAGGGCATGGGGGGAGGGGGAGAGAAGTATCCTTATATGGGTATAGAGGGTCAGTTTTACAAGATGAAAAGAATTCTGGAGATGGATAGTGGTGATAGTTGCATAACAATATGCATATATTTAAAATTACTGAACTGTACAGTTAAAAACAGGATGGTAAATTTTATGACATGGGTGTTTCATCATAATAAAAAAATTTAAGGGAAAAAAACCTCATCAAACCTAAACGAAGGCAAAATATTGAAACCACAAGGGGGTTTTTGTCTAGGTCCAGTTGTTTGTCACAAAAAGATCCAATTATTGAGACAAGGATTGCCAAGGAAGAAAGGAAATTTTAATACAACAGATGTCTTATCAGGAGAATGGGAAAAGCTGCTTCAAATCCATCTCTTTGACTAAGGGAGATCATGGGAGTCCTTTAAAGGAAGGACTACATACATTGGGGGCAATTTTGGGGGGATGGTAATTCTTGGTGTCAGGAAGTCAACCCAGGGGCCTTCAGAATCTCAGCTCCATTGTCTTGCAGAAAATCTACTATGCCTGGGAAACAACTCAAAAAGTCAAGTAATTAATTAAGGGAGAGGATTATATAGGGATCATCAAAATTTATTTAATGGGGTGCTGGTTACAAAAGTATGTAAAAAATGATAAAACAGATGAAACAATAGAAAAAATTTAGTAAAATGATATAAACCACGAATATCAGTAATTGCATCAAATGTAAAGCAATTGATATATCAATTAAAATATTTTCAGATGATAAAAATTTCAACAATATGCTGTTTACAAGAGGTATGTTATTTTAGATGGTAATTTAGCTTTCAAATATTTCAAAAGATGAAAACATAGAATGTTATCAGACTACAATGTATTTGAGCAAGAAATTAGTCACAGAATGATAACCAGAAAACTCCCCTATACTTGGAAATTAAGAAGTATACTTCCAAGTAATCTATGGGTCAACTAAAAATCTCATAAGAATGATCAAGAAAAAAATAAAATGGCACAGAAAACCATGTAATAAATGGGAAAAATGACATTATTACAGACCTTCCATAAATAAAAAGAGAATATTATGAACAAAAATAAATTTGAAAATTTAGATGAAGTTGATAAATTCTTAAAAATAAAAGATTACCAAAGCTGATGTAAGAATAAATAAGAAATATGAAGGGAAATAATAAATAGGAATATAAATATGAAATATGAATATGAAGTAAATAAGAGTATGCATAGTCAATATCTTTGACTATTAAAGTATTGAATTCTGAAACAAAAAGATAAACAGATAAACCAAAACTAAACCAAATAAACAAAATCTAGTTTTCCACAAAGGATATTTCCAACCCATTTGTCATCTTTGATTAATTTTGTCAAATATTTTAAGAACAAATAGATCAATTTAGATGAATTCTACCAGAAAATAAAGAGGAAATATTTCTCACCTTGTTTCAGGAGGCAAGTACTAAAACCATCTCATAAGGACATTATGAAAAAAGAAATTTACAGGCCAATCCTAACTCATGAACATAGATATAAAAACCCTAAACAAAGTATTTGAAAACCCAACATAGCAATATACAAAAAAGATGGTACATCATGATTAAGCTAGGTTTCTTCTAGGAATGTAAAATTGATTTATCATTTGAAAAGCCAGTGGGTTTCATAAATTAACAAAGGAGAACGATCGTGGTTATCTCGATAGATGCAGAAAAAGCTTAGGTTTAGAATTCAATTTCCATTCATGATCAAAAGTCTTAGTAAACTATGAGTAGAAGAAAAGTCTTAATTTGATAAAGGGTATCTATGAAGACATCAGAAATATCACACTTATTGGGAATGCTGAAAGCTTACCTTTTTGATTTGGGGAATGGAACAATGTGGCTGAAAATTTACTACTTAATTACAACATTGTCTTGAATAGCCTCATGGTGTTCATGCGATCAGTCAAGTAAAAGGAGCTATACAAATGGGGAAGGAAGAAATACAATTGTCATTGTACTTCAGAAGATATGATTGTATATGTAATAAATCCTGAGGCATCTATAGATGAGTTATTATAATTTATAAGTTAATTTAGCAAGATTGTGGTCAATTGAAACAATATAAATTGCATTCATATATACTATACGCTGTGGGGGCCGAAATAAACTTCAAAGATAAGTGTTAGCTAACTCACCTACCCAAATCCAAAATTTTAGACAGGCTCAGAAGTGAAATTACTCTTAATCCTGAATCCATGGGAGGATATTATCCCAGATGGCTTTAAAATTCTCTAAAGTTTGTTTTTTTATAGTTTTTTGAGAGTAGAATCCTACAGTTATAGTGATAGTTATTTGAAAAAATATTAGTCTATTTTTTGGTTTGGGAATATCAATATATGAGCAGCTTCTTCCAAGACAGCAGTGACCAGCAAACCTTGTGCTTGGTGAACAGTTAGTTAAGTGGGATTTTGTTCTGCTACGTTTCCTCAATGCTTTCTTCCCAAGTGTCAGCATCCCTTGTGAGCAGGCTCTCTCTTTCCAAGTTCTCCCTGTGGTGAACCCAAATGTTGTTTATCAGACAGGCGTAATTCAACCCACTAAAATCCACCCCTGCCAATGGAATTTGTGCTAGGAACTACAGCCCCTCCGCCTAGTCACATACGCATTTTGTTCTCAATTTGCATCACTAAGATCTGTAGGCAGGTGTAGGTGGTAACTCACAGATGCAAATTTTTTATTTTTCTCATTTTTCCTTTGTCATTTGGACATGACAGTACAAAAACAGCCATCCCTTAATTACAAAGGGTGACCCAGCCACCCCCAACCGCAGTCCCACCCAATGTATCCTGCCAGATCATGAGAAAAGAAACCATACGAGCCTTCCTTTCTGCAGCTCATTTCAGTCCACTTATGCCTCGTCGTGTTCCTAGGGCTGAGCCATGCTCACCTCCCATACATACCTACTAGCCTAAAAGGACAGGAAGGCGAGAGACGCCTGAATAGAATCCAGATATATAAACCTAGCATTGGTTTTGACCCCTATATAAAAAATGTGGTTGATATTATTTTTCTCTAACTTTGAAATATTTTAAAACTGATTTCTAGGACTCAGAAAATGTAAGCATGTTACAATTACCTAGAAACCCTCTACAGGTTAGTAGATATGAAGAATATAAGAAAAGAAAATTAGAATATTATTATATAATATCAAATTTCTTTTTTAAAATCTCTTCTTTTGGCCGGGCGCTGTGGCTCACGCCTGTAATCCTAGCTCTTGGGAGGCCGAGGCGGGCGGATTGCTCAAGGTCAGGAGTTCAAAACCAGCCTGAGCAAGAGCGAGACCCCGTCTCTACTCTAAATAGAAAGAAATTAATTGGCCAACTGATATATATATAAAAAATTAGCCGGGCATGGTGGCACATGCCTGTAGTCCCAGCTACGTGGGAGGCTGAGGCAGGAGGATTGCTTGAGCCCAGGAGTTTGAGGTTGCTGTGAGCTAGGCTGACGCCACGGCACTCACTCTAGCCTGGATAACAAAGCGAGACTCTGTCTAAAAAAAAAAAAAAAAAAAAAAAAAAAAATCTCTTCTTTTACCAGGACGATGAGCAGGTAACTGTCTATATTTGGGGTTTTAAAAAGATCCTGAATTCAGTTAAATCCTGAATTAAACAAAAATCAAAACCCAAAATACGTAATCTATTTTATTCCTTAGTTTTTTTAAATTATTGGATCTAAGGTGAATTTCAAGATTATTTGTTGATTTTTCAGTTGGATATTCCAAGTATTGCTTTTAAAAGGTCATTCATAGTAGCTCTAATAAACTTAAAAGATTTTGAAAACAAGAAGATATGATTTGCTATATGTAAACAAGATCATTTCAGAAATCAAAATTGTGACATTTGAGTAGGATCTAAACTTGGCAGAATTATGTGTAGAAAAGGAACAGTGGATTTTGAAAGTACTGGAAGGCATGTGGTTTATAAAGAAAGATTTCACCACATGATTACATCACTTGTTTAAATTCAAAATCTATCCGCCTCTTCTAAACAATGCACATTTGATCTCTAAAGAGATCTCTATCTCTTTCTGTTTTCATACCTGAAACTAAATATTACTGTAGCTTCAGGAGTATTACTTTTAATTTTTGTTCAAAAATGTCATATTTAGGTTGTCTTTGTATTTATTCAGTGAATTCACTGTATTATATCAGGACGGCTATTTTTAGAAAGGAGAGGAAAAATTTGCACTTAGAATCAACTGCAGTATTTCGACTGAGAATGGCATAAATCCCAAGCTTTGCGCTGTCAGTGGATGGATGGGGACAGCTACTTCTGTTGGGTCTTTATCATTTAGTTGTAATAGTCTATCAAGTTGGGAGGATTGCCAAGATTACCATACTATTCTCTAGGAGCCCCCCTCAATACCTATTTTCAAAAAGCCAAGTCATTACTTGAAATATTTCTATTTATTAACATTAAATCAAGTTTCAATTTCATTGTTAAAAACGACTTAGAGCTTTCTTACATTTTCCTCTTTCTTTCCACGGCTCAGCCTTTAGAGCAGTATCAGGCATAGAATATTGATAGTATAAAATGTGCTAGAATGCTCCAACACATGATATTTTGTGCTATTTTAAGCACAAACCTGTTTCTGCAGCACAGTTCCTCATGGATTTTTTTTTTTCAAGACTTAAATTTTAGAATCATTCATGATCCACTGTGAATTCATGCTAAACGTTGGGAATTTTTATCAGCCCTTTGGCTAATAGTCATCTGCCTCTTGCCCAGAACCCAGGATGATTTTGCTCAGAAACTAGGGTCATAATACAGCAAATTCTTGGTGTGTTCAGAGCCTGCTTGCATTTTCTGACACAGCAATGAGCTCTGCCTGACACCCTTTACTTTCTGACTCATGGAGAACACCCCACTTAGCCACTTCCACTGGAGCCCCTAAACCCGGATGGCAGCCATCTCAGACAGAATCCCATCGACTCGCTTTGAGCCCAGCTGCTGTAAATTGTAATCATTTGGCCCAAGAAGACTTAGGCTTTCTAATCACAGCAACTGCTGAGAGGACAGGCTGACCTCACAGCTGAACTGTCTCCTCACCCTGCCCACCTCTAGCACTCCACCCACGTTGCTGCTTTCAAAATTTTCCAATCAGGAAGCAGATGTCAATCTCTTTGTTCATATGTTCTCAGTATCCCCGGGATATGGTACAAACTCTCCAAACATCTCATCACCTCACTTACTTCAAATTCTCCAAGATTGCCAGAGCTTAGCGAATTTTCAGCTGGAAAGTTAAATGCCTGTCTGATTGGCAGGCACTCCAGTCTTTCTTTGCTGGTAGGTGGGGAGCAGTTTCTTCCTCTTCTTTACTGGTTGGGGAGAGGAGATGAATGGGGCAGCACTCTCTATCCTGATAACCCATTTCAATCCCCCTTTCTAATTCATTACCTACTCTGCTATAGGCAGAAAATGGGTCATTATGACTGGTAAAGTCACCAGATAGTTTTTTTTTTTTTTTTAAATCAGTTTTTTAAGTCTAGTCTAGGGGAATCTAGTATTTTTTTCCCCAGAAGTTGAATGTACTTATTGCCTACTATTTTCACTATTGGAACTTCAGCAGAATTTCCAAGACAATAGAACAGGACCCCTTCAACATCCTGCTGCTTTACCTTAAGTGCTAGTCAGTAGGTTGTTGAAAATTGTGGCTGGCAATTTTCATGGTTTTGAAAAAGTTAAATGTTCATATTAAGTAATTACTAACTTTCTATTCACATGTTTCTGATTAAATTTCTGCACATTAAATTCTGTGAAGTGGTTAAATGCATGCGAAATAGAAAAAAGTCATGAAATAGTTTTTTCCATTTCCCCATTCTACATGTCCTTCACTTTGCCAGAAAATATAGGATAACGTGTCTCCTTGCAAGTGATCAATTCTCAATTCAAGTTGAACTTGCTTTTACACACAATGACCTTGAGATTGGAAGTCTAAACACTCTCTACACAGAGAGGGAAGGGTGGCTGCAAGGGCTCCTGTGACTAGTTTTGCATTTTTTTTTTCCCCTGGAGCTGTAGCAAGGGATTTCTACCAGATGTAACCCATGGAGTCGAAAACCAGAAGAGCAGCCAAGCCAGATTCACTGGCAAAGCTGAAGCTCAAATACCAGACAGAAGCAGAAATAAAGTCAAGAGTCACAGATTCAGAAGACTGGGGCTCAGTAGAAATGAAACTAGGAACTAGAATGGGGATAAGTGAGAGGAGGTTTATATAAAATGCCACAAATCCTGGTGTATATTTAAGTCTTGCTTTAAGAATCCATGGTATATGTATGCATTTGAGTTGGCCTAATTTAAAAAGCTGGAGCTAATCATGATGCAAATAGATACATTTTTTCTTATTTAAATGTCATTTTATGGTGGAAACCTAAGATGCCTATGATAATGCCACTTCAAGGCTGCTTGCATTTCTCCAAGGCCATTAGGCTATATATTAAGCTCCTGGGCAAGTTCTTATTTCTTATTTATGGTAACGCAAGCCAATCTGTTTTAAGCATATGATGCACACTGGGAAAACAACAATAACATATACAATATGGAAAAACTCAATGGGTCCAGAAGGAAGATTTTAGTCCACAGTCTAAAACCAAATTGTGAACCAGGGAGTAAATGAAAAAGCCCTCTAAATGATAAATGACAGTCCAGAGCTTACTCCAGAGAAGAGGTTGGCACACTTTCAAAACCTTACTCAGACAACTGAATATGGAGTAAAGGAACAGATGAGAAGCAATAACACATTAACAACAGTGAGAAATAAAAGTTGATTTAGGGGAAGGACAGAGGACTCCTTATACAAAAGAAAAGCATATTAGGGAAAATGTGTCAGAAGCAGCAGCTCTACACGCTTTGTGAGTTCTTGGGGAATTATTTCATTATAAACAGCTCAGTAATTGATAATCAAAATGATATTCCTGAAGTTCTCATTATAGGTTACATAATTCAAGGTTAAATAATTCAAAGTGAAATAATTTTCTTAAAAAATGATTTTCAAAAAGAGACATTGTTGTTAATAAAAGGAGTTGCTTCAGCTATGTGGGAATGGAAAATCCATACTAAACAGTTGATTTTCCTGATAATGCTAGACATTAGAATTATTAATTGTAGTCAAGATAATACATTCGAATGTTTTAAGGCTTGGTTGAAAAATGACTTGTGTACTGCTGATGAGCAAAGTCATTGACTAAGAACTTTTCTTTTCCACCCTTACAGAGAAATATGGCTGCTGAGTGGCCATGTTTGGAGTGGTGGTCAGAGAAAGGGCAGAGTCTGTGGTGTGTACTCACTGGAAGCCTGCAGAGTTAGATCTCTTATCTACAGAATCTTTATGACCAGATTTCCTGTTACCAATCAACGAGTGGTACTTGTGTTTGTGGTGTGTGCCTTCATCTTCATCCACTGCCAAGGTTACGGAGGTTGAGGTTGAGAGGTTATTTTAGGTAAGGGGAAACGGAGTCAGAATGCGACAGTTCTCCCTAGAAGGGTTGCTAATTTGGGACCCTCTGTGGTGACTGTTGGTGCTGCTTGTATTGGACTTCTCACCAAAGGAAAAGCTAGTCTCAGGATTCTAACGACATAGAACAGTAGAAGCCAATATTTTCATTTTCTTCTTTTTGTCCTTCTTTGGCTGCAAGGGCAGATTTGCACAGCGAAACTTGATGTTCATATGTTGCAGGCATTGTTTGCCACCTTCTTTTTATTTTAACTATTTCAGGTTGTGCAAAATTGCTTAGTTTTTCCCTTTCATTGTGGTCTCATTGGGTTAATTCTTAGTATTTTCATGTATGTCTTTTATAGTAAAATTTGATGGAAGATTAACTTGAAGCACTCCACAGGCTCCTTGGAGGAGAAAGAAAGGGGAAAAAGGTAGAAAAACACCAAAAGAAACTGAATGGGGGAAAGGGTAGACTATTTCAGACAATGGGGGGATTCTGATTATGAACAACGTTAGAGAATGGGAATTGAAACTTCTTGTATGTGTTTTAATAAATATCAAAAGGCAATTGGGCTGAGCCCATTTAGACACAAATTCTCCTGGGTTATAACTTTCAATCCATTCAATTCACTGTGGATTGTCTACAGTGATGTTGCCCAGAACTGGGCACACCTGTTCTTTCACTCATTCACCATTGACACAGTCTACAGTAAAATGAAGAATAACTGGATTTTTGGCTTTGGGTATGACCCTTGCATAATATGTAATCATGACATAACCCCTCCCCCTTTCCCTCCCTCCCTTCCTCCCTCCCTCTTTTCCTTCCTAAATAAGAAAGAGAATTTGTCTTGGCTCATGTACAGTTTTTTTTCACTGGGGGCATGCTATATAATTTTAGTTCTGGAATTTGGTTACTGAGAACTTGCAGAATCGTGATTATGTTGTGTTTCGTTTTTCATATTGTAGGGAGTAGATTTAAGAGTAAATGTTGTTTAGGATGATATACAAGTTATAAATTATGGATTTTTTTAAAAATATAAGTGAAATTAATATGCACACAACCGCTGAAGTGATTTACTGATATAATAATTTTTGTCAATCCTAGGCTGGTGCTATGGTTTGAATGTATCCCCAGAAGTTTATGTGTTGGAAGCTTAATCCCCAATGCAACAGTGTTGGGAGGTGGGGACCACGAAGGGGTGATTAGGTCACGAGGGCTCTGCCCTCATGAATGGATTAATGTTATTGTGGGAGTTCTCTCGAGAGTGGGCTTTTTATAAAAACGAGTTTGGCTCTCTCTTGCATGCATACTCTTGTTTCTTTCTGCCCTTTTGTCCTTCCACCATGGGATGATGATGCAGCAAGAAGGCCCTCACCAGATGGGCCCCTCGATTTTGGGCTTCCAGCTTCCAAAACCATGAGCCAAATAAACTTATATAGTTTATAAATTACCCAGCCTGTGGTATTCTGTTTTAGCAACAGCAAAACAGACTAAGACAGCTGGGTGGAATCATTCTCCTATGACTTGAAGAAGGCAATGTTTCTCAGCTCTGCTGCCTCTTTGGCTTAAGGGATTTTCAACCTGATTATTTCAATTAAGACATTGAGTACCCATTGTTAAAATAAATGATATTTACACAATAAAATTGGGATGTGTTTTAAGGGGGTTAAACTATTGTATGATTTTGTGCTTAACTTTTTTAGTTTATTATGGCTCCTAATTCCTTTCATTCTTCCAAAAATCTAGTTCTTATCTTTTGAATTGTTTTTATTATTATTCTCTGGGTTATCATAATTCTCTCTCTGTGCTAATAGTAAAATAGTAATAATTTTAATAGAAATTGCTAAGTTATATTAAAAAATGCAAAATATGCAAAACAGAAGGAAACTGAGACGGCTTAGCTTCACATTGTGCTTCTTGAACTCTTGCTCCTAACTCAACTGCATCTATATGTACTTGTTCAACTCTATAAATGATAATCTCAAACAATCTAAAAAGCAATTATTTCATGAGATGTATGTATAGGTGTTCTTAACAGTTTGGCTTTAAATTTTGAGAGTAGAGAAGAATGATCATAATCTGCAAGTTGTGTGAGGAATAAGGAAGAACTGAGCTGGGTACAGGCAGCTCTAGCTATGTCTCTAGTCAAGGAGCTGTAGAATTTAAGGGTCATACTTTGATGTTTGCCAAAATTCTTTAAACTTCAATCTCTTCAAAAATGAAATAAAATAAACTCATATTCATGGAAGTGAACTAGAGATAACCTGAGTGGTGGATTCTCCACTGTGTTCGGCTTTGCTGGTGCTGAGCTTTTGTACTTAAGCCAAAATAATGTTCTTTCTCTATCTTTTCGAATGAGTTGCTTCTCAAAAGGCTTGCCTGTCTTTCTTATAAACAGACTTTCAGTAAGTCTACCAAAAGAAGACTTTCATCAGTCCATCGGTCATGTCCAGTCTTGATACACCCAAGTCATAGGGTGAACATGATTTAGTGTAGGATGGGGATACAATCACAAATGTACTTCCTCTATGATTCATTAAGACTCCAAATTGCCTTTTTGCTCAATTCCTTTGGAAACTTGATATATATTTTTATTGTTACTTGTTTTCTTGTACATATCATTCACTATAAATCAGTAAAAAACATTTTGAAAATCCCTGGCTTATATCTGTGTTATCAACACAGCTTATTGGAGAAGAAATGGTATCAAACAACGAATAATGTATAGAACTACATCTAATATTTTCGCTAACGATAGATCTGGCACAATCTGTATGCTATCACAACTGTTTTTCCTCCCTCTCACCATAATAATCTTTAATTTGTGGTAAATGGAAGGCACAACATACATGGCGGTCAACCCATACAGAGATAGAGTATGATTTTGAATATGTGTGAGTTTGTGCTCACATACACTTGGACGGAGTAGTGGCTAAACAGAGGGATGTTTAGTATTGATGAGGACTTTTAGCACTTACTCATTAATACTGTGTATTTATTAAAACATTTTGGCTGGGCGCGGTGGCTCACGCCTATAATCCTAGCACTCTGGGAGGCTGGGAAGTGGATTGGCTTGAGTCACGAGAATGACAGAACCGCCTGAGCAAGAGTGACGACCACCGTCTCTTACTCCGTAACACTAGGAAAGAATTAATTGGCCCAACTAAATATAATATAATAAAAGTAGCCGGCGCAGGTAGTGATATGCTGTAGTCCTAGCTATCGGGAGCTGAGGCAGACGGATGGCTTGACCCAGGAGTTTGAGTTGCTGTGAGCTAGGCTGATGCCAGGCACTCACTCGTACGTCTGGGCAACAAAGCGAGACTCTGTCTCAAAAAAAAAAAACATTTTGAAGAGATGTTCATATGTTTTCTCTTATTGTTTAATTCTAAATTACCAGGAAAATAAACTTCAATTTCTTGGCAAAGTCAAATGACATTTTATAGTTTTAATTTGCATGGAAGTAACCAGATCCATAATGCTATTGTAGAGGATTAAATTAGTTAGATAAGACTTATTTTTTCAAATACATTTATTTTTTGTTTTTTTTTTTGATGTACTGTTTTATTCAAGGTATTTACAAATTGAACTCATAATTAAAATCATGATATATACATGTGTTTGTGCATATAACATTTTTTGAATATAGCACAAAGACTGGATAGTGGTATAGTTTGTCTTTTTATGCAATGCACAATTATTGATAAAAGTTCTTATGAAAAAGCACAGTGAACTTCAGAATGTGAATGAAAACAAAAGCAAAGCTCAGTAATTTGCATGGAGGTTGTGTCTCATTAATACGCGTCTCATATAAGCAGTCAGAATGTAAAAATAGGTGGTAAAATCTGACTGGGGACTTAAAATTACAAATTATACATAGAATGTACACTAAAATTAATTAGAGAATTAATTGAGAAGCATAAGTTAAAAAAAACCTACTTGATGTTGAACAACATTTGATAATCAGAGTCATTTTTCTACAATTGTTAAATATAATTTGTCTCATAATGCTTTCCTTTTGTAAGTTGTTACAACACTGTATGATATATGTAGCTTATTAACAGTTTCATTAATTGCTATTAGAGAAAAGAAGATACGAAAGCTGGTACACATAGGAACAAATGTTAAGGCAGATGGTTGAAATAAGTGAAACATGATTAGTTACTGAACCAGCTCATTTATTTAGCTTTTATATCAGAATAGTTAAAATAAATTTGTCATATTGTTTTCAAGAAATTGAAATTCAGGGAATTATTGCTATATATATATATTTTTTTTTTTAAAAAATAATAAGACAAAGAGCAACGAACTGTGGGCTCTGACCCATAAACATTAGTTTATTCTGTACTGAGGTTTACTGAACTGTTTAGAATAAGAGGGAATTTTACTGTTAGGGAATGGCCAACTGCACTGGCATGTTTCCACTTTCTGTAACAGAGAAAACAGAGGGATAAGAGAATTTGGCTACTGCCCACAAAATTTCCTTGATGTTGTTGCTTCCTAGTGAATAATTTTCAGAGAGGAAATTGGATTTTTGAAATAGCAATTTCATAAAACAATTTCCTTTTTAGTGAGATTCCAGAAAATTCCAAGCCATCGAAATTATAATAATTGTAATGTTAGTATATTTCCAGCTATGTTGCTGGGTATGGTAGGGAGGAACTCAATTTGTAAGGTACTTAGCCTTGGTTAATTCTTATAGATTTCAGTTAGGCACTCCCACCCACAGCATGGACAACAAATAGTCAAAGATTTTGAAAAAGTGTGGAGATTTTGAAAGAAACATGGCTCATATATTCGGGAAAATCTGATTATATTTGGAATTGGTTAATGGAATTCTCCAAATTTGGGGTATTACATGGCTTATACATGCCAAGGGATATAAAGGTTTGGAACAATTTATTGTCCCTTCTTACAGGAATGTCTTTTCTATATTTGCTTTTTAGGATACATTTTTGAACTTTGTCAGAGAAATAGAGGATTAGGCTATCAGTATATAAAAATTTCTAATGGTGCAGTCTTCATCTATGTTATCAAAGATATTACAACCGAGCCTTGGGTGATTATCTGTTTATCTATATGAATCTAAATAATAACTATAAACATAAATGGTCCATTATTGACACAGCCAGCTACCTTTTTCCTTACTAGGATATATAATGAAGTTCTTTCTGCTAGTGTCACTTTATAAATTGCTTGATCCAGGAACTATGGAGCTGCTGCCACTGGTGGTTTGGTCTATGCTACCTTTCCTGCCTTTGCTATCACTCTTGGCCTTGGAAAATAAGATAGGAGTAAGATCATTTTATTTATAATTCATTTATAGGCACTGTGCCAAGAATGTTTAAATATTTCAAGATCCCACAGAAATGTTTGTGTCCTGAACTTTTAAAAAATTATTTCTATAATATTAAAATAAAAAAATCAAAGTTAACAAATTTTTACATATCTATAATTTTAAATATTAATCAATTGCTATTTTATTAAACTCTTACATAGTAATATATAAATAAGATTTATTGGGCGGGTTCGGTGGCTCACGCCTGTAATCCTAGCTCTCTGGGAGGCCGAGACGGGTGGACTGCTCAAGGTCAGGAGTTCGAAACCAGCCTGAGCAAGAGCAAGACCTCGTCTCTACTATAAATAGAAAGAAATTAATTGGCCAACTAATATATATAGAAAAAATTAGCCGGGCATGGTGGCGCATGCCTGTAGTCCCAGCTACTTGGGAGGCTGAGGCAGAAGGATCGCTTGAGCCCAGGAGTTTGAGGTTGCTGTGAGCTAGGCTGATGCCATGGCACTCACTCTAGCCTGGGCAACAAGTGAGACTCTGTCTCAAAAAAAAAAAAAAAAAAGATTTATTGTGGGAAGTGGGTCCACTTTTGATGTTTACTATGAGGAAAACTTTAGTATAAAAATGTAGTCAATCCTTGTCAAGCTTCCTTCCTATGTCCATGCTTTTATTCAGCAAAGAAAACAATGTACATTTTTACCACTTGTTTAAGTCCATCACATGTTACTTCTCAACTCTAATACTCTTCATAAAAGAAAAGAAGATTTTAAGTATGACATTAGCTCATTAGAGTTTAGGAATGAAATTCAAAGGAGCCAAGAATGTCATTCAAAAAATAAAAAATGCTTAATTTTATTCTTAAAAATGATAAAAGTATAAGATAAAATGCTATTACAAAGACTATGCATGTGAAAAAATCTAGAGATAAAAATATGCCATAAACTGAGTAATCAGGCCAATGGTACCACTATTTTTAATATTCAGCAAGACAGAATTGGCTCTCAGCAAAATTTGAAGTCAGCATAATTATTTTTGTACGTTATCACATGCCTAAGCTCTTACTATTAAAAAAATTATTATTAACATAGTCTTGCTAAACTGTTAGTACTGCCTATTACACATCCACCCCATCCTATCTCATGCACTAGATTTGTAATGCCTTAAGGGTAGAGACATTGTGTCATTACTTATCTTTGAGATCATTGAAAAAAATCAAACAAACTGGCAGATGTTTAATGAACATGTCTTGACTCAAAAGCTTTTTACCCTGAATATTAAGGCTATTTGGAAAAACTGCTTCTACTTTGGATATAGAAAGCTCCTACTCTAACAACAAGAAAAAGGGTTAATCTACAAAATTATACTTTATTTGTATTCATCAGGCATCTGAGGTTGCAAAGCAGCTAGTATCATTGAATTCCAAAGGATGGCAAACCCTTCCAAAAAAGAAGTGGACTCCCCTAAATTTGCCTTTGGCAGAGCACAGCAGAGAGAAGTGGCAGTAATAAAGTCAGATAAAAAGAAAACAACTATGAGATGGTTAATTTTATGTGTCAAATTGACCAAGCCAAGAGGTGCCTAGATATTTGGTTAAACATTATTCTTGGTGTGTTTGTGAGGGTGTTTCTGGATGAGATTAACATTTTAATCAGTAGACTGAGTAAAAGGGATTGCCCTTCTCAGTGAGAGTGGTCTCATCCAATCTGTAAAGGGCTAAATGGAAGAAAGTATTGACTAAGAATTCTTTCTCTCTATCTGACTGTGTTCAAACTGGGACATCAATCTTTTCTTCCCTTCAGACATAGACTTGGACTGGCACTTATACCATTGGCTCTCCTGCTTCTCAGGCTTTCAGACTCAGACTGGATTGGTACTATAGGCTCTCCCGGATCTCGACTTCTCAGCTTCTATAATCACATAAGCTATTTTTTACTGATAAATCACATCCTATTGGTTTTGTTTCTTTGGAGAATGCTGACTAATGCAAACTTAAAATTTAAGACATAAAGGACAAATATGGGCCAACACGATAGTTTAGACCCCTTAGAAGCCCCATACAAAAGAAGTCTATATGCACTCAGGGACACGCTTGGTGATGCAGGCTTGTGAATGTGTTTGGCTACTTTTGAGAGAAGAGTATGATGTCCAGACTTGTCCTTAATCTTTTTCTCACATGAAAAATTGGTGTTGCCACTGGGAGAGAGGTAGGCAACCTCAATAGTCTCTACCTGTGATACCAGTTTGGCTGCCATTGGAGTATGAATAGAAGAAAAAAACTATCTGCCCCTGGGAGTGGAATAGAAAAGTTACTTGAACCTAAGATCTTGCACTGATGAAAAACAAGGCAGATTTTGGCTGTCATGATGGGAGAGAAAGGCTTGGGGCTAAGAAGGCTAAAGCAAGAGACTGGAGATCCCCTGGCATTCACAAAAACCTTGTACTTAGAAACAAGCTAAAGCAGATGTTCTATCTCTGAAGAAGGGGAAAGATGCTGGTGAGCTGGAAAGGTGAGGGTGGAGCAGAAATACTGATAAAAATTCTCCATCACTTTAGGCCTCACACTAAGCACAAGGTAGTAGTAGTCTACCAATGAAGGAATTTGAAGTCTCTGGTGAAGTGAACTAAAAGTAATTAGAGCAACAATCACATACAACTGAGTTCAACTACTGCTTAGACTGATCCATCCTTCACATTAATGGACTAACAAAAAAAGAAGTGTTGCCACTTCCTGTTATAAATTTATTTCACTCTATTTTTTTTTACTCACAACATCTGCAGTCAATGTAATATTATACAATACATAAAAAGTGACAACAAAAGATGACCCATTATCAAGAGATAAAACAGTCAACATAATCAAACCAATATGTGTTCAAATCATAGTACATTAGATGAATACTTTTAAATAACTATGTTGAATATGTTAAAGGGTGTAGTGGAAAAGGTGAACACATATATGAACAGATGGAAAATTTCAGCTGGCATATAGAGATTAAGAAAAGAATCAAATGAGAATGCTAGAAATTGAAAAAGCATGGTAATGGAGAAAAATAATTTATTTGATAAACTCTCTGCTGAATGGCTAGATATGGCTGTCTAGATATGGCTGTGAAAAGATTGGTAAATTTTAAGTTAGATCAATATAGATTACCCAAACTGGAAAAAAGAGAGAAAAAGTGAAGAAACAATAATAACAGAATAGAGTATTCAATAACTATGGGATAATATCAAACAATTCAGCATATGTACATATAACTGAAGTTTCATGAGGAGAAGAAAGAAATTATGGCACAGAATAAAAATTCAAAAATATAATTAACAATAATATTCCAAAATAAGTGAAATAGAACAAGCAGCAGGTCAAAGAGCTGGAGGATTTCAAACAGGAGAAACTCAAAGAAAACAACACTTAAATACATCAAAGCTAAATTCCTGAAAACCAAATATGAAGAGAAAATCTTGAAAGCATCCAGAATAAAAAACAGATATTATATATTTTATAAAAGATCAAAGATAAGAATGATAGCAGGCTTCACATTAGAGACTAAAAAAGGCAGAAAATAATGGGATCAATATCTTTAAAGTACTGAAAGAAAAAGAAAATCTATTAACTCATAATTTTACACCAAGCAAAAGAAGCTTTTAATAATGAAAATATGATAGGAGACTTGTTCAGCATACAAAAGATGAGAAAATTCATTGGAAAGGGATTAATTACATTAGCAGAAATGTTAAATAAAGTTTTTCAAGCAGGAGTGTTATATAAGATAAATATCTATACAAAAGATTGAAGAATGTTGTGAATGATAAAATGGGCAAATAGAAAAGAAACTTTATCTTTTAAAAAATACTTTTAAAAGATAATTGAGTGTCTCAAGCAAAAATAGTAACACTGCATTGGGGGGATTATAACACAATTAGGAGTAAAACATGAAAACAATAGCACAAGGAATTAGTGGAAGGAAATGATTTGTGGTTCTAACAGCATATCGAAATAATATATTTTTAAATGTAGATTGCAAGAAGTTAAAGATGTATATTGTGAAACCTAGAGAAAACACTAAAAAAGAAAACAGAAGCTAAAAACAGAAGTTATATCTAACAGGCCAATACTGGAGATAAAATTGAATCATAATTTTTTTTTTAAAACACAAAAGAATGGCAGGAAAACAAAGAACAAAGAAGATATGGTGCATTTAGAAAACAAATAGGTAGATTTAAAGTCAACCATATTGGCAACTATATAAAATGTAAATTGTGTAAACATATCAATTAAGAGCTAGATGTTGTCAAATGGATGAAGGAGGAAAATCCAACTATATGAAGATATAGATACATTCAAAGTAAAAGAATAAATAAATACATACCATATAAACATAATCAAATCAAGATGTGTTTCAGTCAAATGAAGCTGAAGTAGGTATATTAGCATTAGACAAAAACGACTTCATAACAAGAAAGATTACAAGAGACATAAAGAGCCATTAAATAATAATAAAGGGATTATTTATTTCAGGAAACATAGCAATCCTAAATGTGTATGACACATGGATAGATTAAAAAAATAGAAGACTTAGAAATTATTATAAACCATTTTTTATCTCATTTGTAGTTAGGGAATATTTTCAAACAAACACTAGTAAAATACATCTTTTTAAGTGTACATAAAACTAATTAGTGTAGTTCACAATGATATTCTAATAAGATAGAATATTTTCTGTGCCATTAAAAATGCTGCAAATGTTAAATAATTGAAATCATACGAAACACATTTTCAGACAAAAATAAAAACATAGTAGAATTTAATATCAGAAAGATACCTGGAAAATCCCTAATTCTAAATCCCATTTAGAAATTAAATAATATGGTTCTAAATATCTCACATGTTAAAACAAGAAATCACAGGGAAATTAGAAAATACTTTGAACTGAATGAAAATCAAAATACAATATTTGAAATTTGGGAGGAAACAACAAAAGAGCTGCTTAATTGCAAATATGTATCATCAAATGCTTATAGTACAAAAGATTTGTAAAAAGAGGCTTAAACTAACAATCAAAGCATCTACTTAAGAGTCTATAAAAACAAGATTAAATTAAACATAGACAAACACAGGAGGGAAATAATAAGAATAAGACCAAAATCAATAAAATAGAAAAAAGAAATCCAATTAATGAAATCAAAACCACCTGGTTCTTTGAAACAGTAAGATTGACCTTTAGCAAGACCTACTAAGAGAAAAAAGAGAAGGTAGAAATTGCCAATGTCAGAAATGAAAGAGGTTACATTACTACAGATACTACAGATATTAAAAAATACAATGAGATATTATGAACAATTTTATGGTCATAAATTTGACAACTTAGATAAAAGAGAAAAAATTCCTTAAAAGAAACTACCAAATTTCATTCAAGAAAAAATAGATAGATGTTAATGGGCCTATATCTACTAAAAACATAGAGTTTGTAATTAAAAACCTTTCAACAAGGAAAGTTCTGGGCCTACCTGACTCCACTGGTTAGTGCTACTAAACATTTAAAGAAAAAATAATATAAACTTTATGCAAACTCTTTCAGAAAAACAAGAGTGGATAGACTTCTAAAATCATTTTATTAAGTTAATATTACTTAATATCTTGAGACAAAAATTATGCAAAGACATCACAAGATAAGAATAGTACAGACCAATATTTCTTGTAAATATAATAAAAATGTTTAACAAAGTATTAGTAAATCAAATCTAGCAACATAGATAAAGAGTAGTATATTTACCAATCTAGGTTCATTCAAGGAATACCAGCTTGGTTGAAGGTTTAAATAGCAATTGTTATTTTAATATATTAAAAAACTAAAAGAGGAAATAGGCATAAAGTTGTACTGTTGAGTATAGAAAGGAATACAACATCAACATACAAAAATAAATTGTATTTCTAGTAATAGAAACTAACAATTAGAATTAAAGTATGAAAAATACCACTTATAATAGCATAAAAACTAATCAAATACTTAAGAATAAAATAAAAAATATATATATGCAAGGCCATTACAATGAAAATCACAAAACATTACACAGAAAAATAAAGGAAGACATACATAACAAGAGAAATACTATGTTTATGGATCAAAAAAGATTCAGTATTGATAAAATGCCAGTTCTCTCCTAATCAGTCTATCAAACTTCCAGCAGGCTTTTTTTTTTTTTGATAGAAATTGACAAGCTGATTTCAAAATATATATGAAAATTAAAGAAACTAAATTACCCTAAATCATTTTATATAAAAACTTAGAAGTCTCATACTATACAATTTCAAAACTTACTATAAAGATAGCCTAAACAAAACAGGGTAGTTTTGATTTATGGGCAGACATATAGAGCAATGGAACAGAACTGAGTCCAGAAACAAAC